CAAACCAAACATCAGATTGTAGGAAAAAATAAGCAAATTTTGCTGTGTTAGTTTTTTTGGGCCACTTCCTTCAATTTTTGGACCAACCAAACATGCCCTTAATAGATTTTCTTTGAGTCGGGCACTATTTTTGAAAAAAAAAAGTTATATTTTCAAACTAGAGATTGTTGTGTTTAATTTCTTGAGTTTGCTAACCGTAAGCAAAGATACAATTATGTTAACGTCCTACTTTTATGAATAAGAGATGATGCTCCTTTTTTTTGCAACCTAAAGATGCCTCTGGAGGAGGATTTAGGCTCCCTCTTTCTTAAAGATAATATTTTGAGGGAAGGAAGGTAAAAATTAATTTTTATGATAGGTTTCGTTAAATAAACAGTAGAATAATAAGATCAAACTCACATTCATTAAACACATAGAAAGAAAGTTTTAGCATAAAGATTCCAAACTTAATACAAACTATTTTTTTTTTTTGAAAATAAGTATTACAAACTAATTATAATGGCAAATAAAAGCTGAAGATCCAAGCCATTAAGAAGTCCAAGAGACAGAAGCTTTAGTAGTTGTGTGTGAAATAACTTCTTGAACCATATAAGTTTTTCATTCCCATATAAGATCTCTCACATTAATCATCCTTCTCTAACCTTGATATCTGTTGGCACTTCTTTGTCGACCAAATTAAGAAGCGCTGAGATTTCTCAATGAGTCAGTAAGTCTTTGCTATTCCTCACCATTTTTATGCACCACAACTTTTAGAAGAGAGTCTGGTTCATCTATTTGAGATTCACTATTCTGACTCCTCCAAGTTCTTTTAGCTTGTAACCTTTACCCCAGTAAGAGCAAATAGCCTTTTTCCTTTGGGGTTGAAGCCTTTCTAGTTTCTATAGAATCATTTTCTAAATAATAATCTTCTAATAATGAAATGTACTAGATAAGGGTGACATAACTACCAAGAGAGACTACCAAGAGAAAAGGTCTTACCCTTGCAACCTCTAGAGACTACCAAGAGAAAAGGTCTTACCCTTGCAACCTAGAGGTGATATTGGAAATAAAGAAAAGGTTATGTAACTGTTAACCTTTTGATAGTTATATAGCATACATATATCATAAGTTACACGATCTTTATTTTTTACTTCAAATATAAACATAAAAATTATCCACAATAAGGTTCAAAATAGGGATATGGTATCGAAATATGATTTTAATAAGTGTCAATAATTAAGGAAAAAGAGTCCTTTTTTCTCCCCTTTCCTCTATCATTCTCTCTCTCTTGTTTCACATGACATGGTTAAGAGATTAATATTAAGACATAAACCCATGTGCTAAGATGGATAAGGGACATGACTACTTAAAGAAAGGATTTCACCCTTGCAACCCGTATTGGAAATAGCGAAAGTGTAATGTAACTCTAGACCTCTTGATAGCATATATAGCATACCATATGTCATAACCTACATGATCTTTATTTTTTTACTTTAAATATAACTTATATAAAAGTTATTCAAGATAAGTTTAATAAATAGGAATGTGATCTCAAAATGTGATTTAATAAGGGCCAGTAGTTAAGAAATCAGTGTCCTCTCTTTCTCCCTTGTCCTCTATCAGTAGACCTCTCTTCTTTCACTTGCATGGTTAAGAAATTAGTAGTTAAGACATAAACTCATGGCAGTGATATAAGTTAAGACATACACATACAGACATGTATACACATGCAGAAAGACTTTGCACTGGTCCTAAAAGATACTTCTTTCCTAGGTGTAGTTTCGTTGCGCATCTATGCAAGAGAAGTGCCACTATGCTTCTACAGAGGATTATTCAATGCCCTTGAGGTGTAGACCCTATATGGTATAGCCGATACTTTCATCCATTCAATGCACTCATTGAAAATGAATCAACCCCCTATTATGAATTGCATGAATCTTATTGTAGGAAAAGTAAATTATGCATGACGTCATGGACACTCACACCATGGTTATGTCTAGTTCAGACTTTCCTTTCAAAGAATGAAGTGCATACTGACATTCCAGGTACATTGCATCTCTTGTCTGTATTATGTCAATTTAATTTTGGAAAGAGGTAAAGAACTTATGCAGAAATTTTGCTTAGTGGACATTCATGGATGATAAACATTTCGTAGTAGGAGGTTCATTCATGTTAACATCTCTCCATAAGAGGCTCCATTGTTCATGCATGTTCTTATATTTGATTTACTTCTTTCCTTTTGTAGCTCAATGTTTACTGTACATTGTTTTTCTTATGTTCAATGCATTGTTGATTAGCTTTGCATGTTCGATGTACATATCTCTTAAGGGAATGTATACATCGTCCCTAACTGGGGTAATTTTCCCCTATAGATTGAAGCAATGCCACACCAGAGCTCTTTCTTGTAAATTTTGAAAAAAATAAAGCATTTTTAAGCCATTAATATTTATCAAGGTTTGACCAAAGGGAAATGATGATTTTCTAGGGGTTGCATTAAATGCACTCATTAAAAGTTAATAGAAGGTTAGAAAGTATTTAATTATCTTCCAAAAATTGGATGAGGAGCATGAGGTACACCTGTCATTAGAACAAAAGTAACGGAAAAGAGACTATGAGCATCTCTGAGTCAAAGCAAGCGACAAAACCAAGAGAAGGACCATCCAGGTGGCTTTCCTCTGTGTTTTCCTTCTCCTTCTTGCTCATTACATTCACATCGTCTTTTAATGGCGGAGGTTGGAGGCAACACTACTAATTCCAGCGGCACAGTAGATGCCGGATTCGCTAAGCTTCAAGGGCAAGACTTTGAATACTATATGCAAAGTTATTCAATAATTCTTGGCCGGAATAGCAAAAAAGCTACAGTAGATGTTGATCTCTCTAATCTTGGTGGAGGGGTGAACATATCTCGCAAGCATGCAAGAATCTTTTATGATTTTGAGAAGCAACAATTCGCTCTTGACGTCATAGGGAAGAATGGATGTTATGTTCAAGGAGTTCTTCGTTTGCCTGGAAGTCCTCCAATTCAATTGCATTCTCAGGACTTGTTACAGTTTGGGAATTTACAATTTTATTTCTTGTTGCCCATGAGATCAATCTTTGCTTCAGCTGCTGCACGAGGGAACTACTCAGATCCTATTCATCCTGTTTCAGTGCTAAACAATCAAGTTCAACTATTGGATAGTGGGGATAGGAAGCAAACTAAAGAGGTTTCAAAGAGTTTGCAGGAGATAGATGGAAATTATGCTGTTTCCACCCAATTAACGGAAAAACTAGAATCATCTGGTTTATCGGGTAGGTAGTTAGATTTTATGTCCTCTTGATAGTTTCTTCCCTTTGTATTTGTGATGAATAAGGTAGTTTTTAAGGTCCCTTTCCATTAGGGATGGGTTATTTAGTCTTTCTGAATTGATTGCTTCTTGGGGATCTTCATGTTTAGTTAAGAATATGAGTATGTCATTACTTTTTCTTTTTTATATGTTTCCTATTTCTTTTATTTGTGATAACTATTGATGGCTCTTGTGACTTTTTATTAGTCAAATGAAATCCATGTGTATGTTTTGAGTGGTAAAAGCATATACAAAGGATTTTCATGATTATAGGTTTAGAGATTTAATTTGACTTGTCAGGAGTTGGTGATGTGAGGTCTTTGCAAGGCTGTAAATATCCAGAAAACTTGCTTGTAGGTTATATGATGTGATCTTTTTCATATATATCATTCATAAAGTATCAAATATAGCTGTTAAATATTGTATTTATTTCTTGTAGCTTATTATAGTTTTCCTTTTTAGGAGATCTTTTCTTTCTTAGGACTTTTTCAAATAGCCTATAATATGTATACATATACAAGTAATCATTCTCTTCAATAGTCAATCAAGAACAAGAGAAATTTTTTATCAACTCTTGATGTGGTATTGAAGCAACAAGTATTCCTTTAGTTGAGGCATGAGACCAAACTTGAGCATATCTTTGTATTGTAGGATTTAGCAAGGCAGTTCAACATAGTATTTAATTGTTAGATGGAGAAATTTATTATCTTTCTAGGAATTGATAATGAGCTTGTAATCGATAATGTTGTAAAGAAAAAATCATTTATGTGAGCCCTTATCTATGTTGAGTTAGACTTTCACGAGGTCCTGAACCCACACCATCTCTATAACTCTTCTCTGACTTCTCCCCATATGGCTCTAATTACTTATTTTATATTTATGCTATGTCTTCTTGCCTATGTGAACTTCAATGTTGTGTCCATGAGGACAGAAGAGAGCAAGATCTGGCCAATGACATTCTCTAGATCTCATTAGTGCTTGTCCATCATCAATGCCCTCTATTCTTTTGATTTGAGTTTATGCATGATAGTCTTATTTTATAGTTGACACTGCTGTTCTCTCCTATGTTATATTCTATGCATGCGATTGGTTGGGGACCTAAATAGTCACCCCTAGCTCCTCTCTCCTTTGCGAGTCCTCTTCGTTTGATCAAAATCAACAGGTTCCTTTCAGTCATACTCAACATTTGCGCCTCCTTCTAGTGGTCTTTGGCTCCCCCTAAACACATTCTCATCCTTTAACCTCTCTCATCGAGCTCCTTGCTATTACTAGCATGCTCTGGAAAGCCGCTTGCCATCTTATCTTGCCACTTGGCTCTGTCGTTTGAAGCGGGGTCCTCTTACAACTGTGATATCATCCATAAGTTTTTCTTTCTGATGAATTGCTCTCTACGACACAATATTTTTTTGTTCAACAAATTATCCTCTCCACAATCATGACATCAACCTTTGTGCCCTTCATCCTAAGATGTTTAATTATTTAACTCTTTTACGTTCATCTTACACAAACCCTTAGGGGGCGCAAAACTAGGAGTTTGAGTTAGGGAATATATCTTCTGTTAGATTTAAGTTTGTTGCACGGTGACCTATGAATTTCTTTTGGCGAAGACATGTTCAGTCAATTAGTATCTAAAATTTATCGTGTTGTTCAATAGGAATATGTTTGAATGTTTCGAGCATCTTAGTTTCTGTTTTCTTTACATAGTAGAGATAAGCATGCATATATTTGCACCTTTCACTGTTTATTTGCTTGTATTTCTGCAGATTTCTGGTGATAAGGTCCGATATATGTTTAGTGGAGGGTAGCATGTATGTGATTTTGTTGAAGCAGCTTCTTACTACTTCTATGATGCTAAGTAGAAAACTTGTGTGTGGTTGGTTTGTGCATGTATATATCGAATGATTAATATTATTACTATTGTGATCACATACTAGAGTTGACTACTGAGTTAACTTATAGAACCTGGTAACTAATCAGTTTCTCGTCAAAGAGAAAGGTCACTCTTGACACTATAAATTTGTCAAGAAAAAAGTGCCAAGATTTTATTTCACTTTTGGCTGAAATTTTGAATTATATTCCCTATTTTTCAGCAGGGGCTTTTACATATATACCCCTAAAAGTTCTATATTTGCAAATTTACCCTCCAAATCGTAGTATTTGCAAATTTAACCACCAATTCTCCAACACTAATATTCTACTCTCATACAAACACCATTAAGTTTCTAACAGCGGAAGATATTTTGATCTTTGTACTATTTCCCTAATTAACCACATTTGTCTTAGGCGTTAGTTTTTTCTACCTCTAACTAACCCATGGTCTATTTTGAGAAAAAGATCTACACTCTTCTCTTGATCTATTATTTTTCTTCTATGCTCAAATGTGAGGGCTTCTACTCTATCAATGGCTTTTTGATTTGCAATACTCGGTGATAAAGGTATTGCTCTCATCTCATTCAAACACTCAGCATTGTCCCAGTTCACATCCTCACTCGTCCACGTTCTTGCCATTGTTGCTACTGAATTTCCACATAGCGCTTGCAGTGCTAAAACCCTTTGGAATTATCATGGCTTTCATGAAGCTCAAATTTGAGAAACAATTGTGCTATAGGGATGATGACTTGATGAATTCTTAATAAAGTACAAATCAGAAAGCAACTTGTGTTTGCTTCTGAAAGAACTAGCATTGTTTCAAAGGATGAAAAAAATGAAGATCAAAATTTTTAGAGGGAATTAAAACTCTAATAGATCAATTTTTGAGGAGAAAAATGAATGGACAACTGAGTTCATAGATGCCATTTGTTTGCCAAGGGATTTTTGTCACACATTGTCAAAGATTTGAACAAGAGATGGGGAACAAGAAGTAGAAATTAAGGAGAAATAGCGGTGAGGATAGGGGAAGGCAATGGGTTAAAGCAATGTGTTCTAAGGATGGAGAGGCTGTGTTGGTAAATTTTGTAATTACAAACATAATCAAAATTATTTAACTAAGGGTATATTGATAATTATTAATAAGTTTTAAGTGATCTAAAGAAATTTCACATAATATACAAGGTCTTTAACATACCAAGTGAGTGTAGAAAATCCTATAGGATTGAGGGGTAAATTTGCAAAGATCAAGATTTAGGGGGTAAATTTGCAAATATTAATGTTTTGAGGGATACATATGAAAAAAACCATTTAAGTTATTAGATATTGAATAAATTCGTTTTGTGTTTTAGGAAGGCAGAGTGAGATTCATGCATACGAAACTACTTAATAGTGTTAAAAATACGAAGTGCAACTGGACCTTAATGGACGTTGATCTCCCTAAGTGATTAAGGCGATTCAGTCCCTTCTGGTTCTTTTATCTTTTCTTGTAAGCATGATGTTCACCATAGAGGGCTTCAATGAGAATTTGGCAAAGCACTTCAACCAGCTGACTGTATGAAAAGCAATTAAGTTATTCCAGAATTCCAAGCAGAGAAATAACTTCCCTCATTTCTATTTTATAGATATTTCTCTTGTTGCTTGAAATCATAGGGGACTATATCAACTTCTAATTGCAGATCAAATCATATGGAAAAGATGGGTGTCAAATGAAAAGGTCGATGTGAAGATCGATATTACTTGCTAACAAGATGGGGGACTTACTGGTCAACGTTATGTGAATATTGTATTGGTTTTAAGGAGCCTGTAATAGAACATTTTAATACAGGTGCAAATGGAGGATATGGATCGGACATGGTACTTAAGATATTCATTTCCACTTACTAATTATAGAAATGCTTGGATATGATTCAAATGGAATCAAATTCTAAGGTATTTGTATTTGTATTTGTATTCATGTAAAATTTTCGAATTCAAATCCAAAATCGAGTATCCGTTTTTGGATTTTTCGATTTCACATTGGAAGTTTGATCTTTGTCAAATATTCATGAATATTTATTGATTATTAAAGTATATTTATTTGTTATTAAACTATTTAAACTAAGAAGAAACATTTATTTGGTAAAAGAAATAGTATCAATTTTATAAAGAATTTGAGTTTTAAGTGGCATCTAAATTCACAATTGAAAATAATTCCTTTATAATTATGACGTATAATTATTTAATTTTAAATATTTGGTTAAACACAGATTTAAACCTCTTTAAGTCCTAGATTAGTATATAACTTAAGTAGAATGTGTGAGTGCGTTAAAAATGTGTAATACTACAAATATAAGAAATCAAAATTTTAAATGAATATCTGATAAGGAAATGAATTAAATATACATCTTGTTAAATTCTATTTGTATACGAATCAGGACTCTAAAACTATTTGTTTATTGGTAATTGAACTACTGAATCGAATGTAACCAAATAGTTAGGTGATCAATTAACGAACTATTTGTTAATTATTTGTGCTTTTTCCACCTCTAAGCACAAATATGAATACGCATACAGGTAGGGTTCAGTAAAGAAAACCCATATTCTTCATCTGTCAAACTAGGATACAGATATGGATTAGAAGTGAGATACAAAATGGATACGCAGATGACAACTATGATTGAAAAGTATAAATACCATGTGATACAAGAGCTATTTAAATAAAACAAAATCTTAGATGAGAGTCCATTAGTATGTTCTACGTATTAGAAAAGCTAATCTGGGATATGAGAATCATCAACATTGTTATCGCATCCATTTATTTAAGGTCAAAACGAGTGCAATTGTCTGATCGAGAATATCTGAATATTTGAATACATTTCCATGTATTTCACTTATATCCATATCATACCCAAAAAAAAAAAGGATATCCATGTTCTTATCCTCTCGGATACAATTAGTTGGAAACTTATATTCTGCATCCTATCAGATATAGCAATAAGTACGTTCATGGATCCATAAACTTTCGCTTCTCTACATTTTGTTTATAGTAGTTCTTTTATTTATGTGTGCTGATGTTTTAGTAAGGAGGTTTCATCGACTAGTTCATTTCTTTGGCATTAGGTGAAAGCAAAAGGAAGAAAATTATTTTCTTGGAGGGTGTCACTATCAAAGCGATATAGGAGTACATCTCTACTGATGCATTCAATTCTTTCTTTATTTTATTTTTTCTACTAATTGGTATGACATGAGCATTTCAGATGAATATTGCTGCATTGTGCGACACTGAAACTAACATTTCTATAGTGCCCCCTTATCCAGATGCTAGAGAGTTTCTTCCATCTATTTATATTTCACTTTGTTTTCAATACCGTGTCATTATCCACACCTTTGTGTATTCTGTAAACCCATAGGTTTAGTATCATTGCTGGAAGCAAGGGTACAGACAGGGGACACATATATAATATATCGACTAGTCAATTACAATTTTATCACTTTTCTTTCTTTCCATTTTGGATGACACCACTTGGTCCTCCATAGACAGCCCTCTTAGAAATCCATTCAAGAGTTCTCTTTCTCTTTCTCTAGAAAAGTTCCTTCCGCTGAGAACTGTGGGTGACCCGAATAGTTGGAAGGTCCTAATATGACTCCTAAGGTCTTGGGGTCCGGTTCTCATATTAAAAAAAGGAGAGAGAGATTCCTTCTGCTGAGGAGAAAATTGAGAACATGTCTCTTGGTTTTTTTACCCTTATTCTGCATTCCCTTATTCTGCATTCCCATTGTAGGTTGTTCCTAACAAAATCGTGATATTGTCTCTTAGTTAGTATAACCTATTTCTCTACCCCGGTGGCATTTAGACGGCTCAAAATCTGATTTTTTTTTTGAAATAGAGGTATAGGTTTTGTTCTCAACAATTGTGGTGGAAGAAAAATGGTAATAATGTTATATTTGCATTTTTATCGACAGATCATATATTTTGGCTTTATATCCTCTTTTTTTAATAAAAATTATAATTGTTTTATGACTTGCAACTGATAATGAAACCTTAACAACCTTCTAAAATGGGATTAAAATACATCTATTATTAAGTGGACTTATTATAACATGTTGCATATCATAAGATGGATTTACATTGAAACCACAAATACATAAAATATAATCAGTTTTCTTGTGTTCATATTGAATCCATGTATCGTATGATATAAGATATGGGGATTACTGAATAGACATAAGTTTCATAATGACAGTGGCAAGGATATGTTCTATTAGAAGCAATAAAGATAGAATAAAATGTTAATTAATTAAATATATAGGTTCTCATTATCTACCTAAATCGATGAAATAATTATCCAGTGCATGTGTATTAAGTCCTTCACATGTTTGCAAAGGGTCTGAGATTTGTTGTTATAGTACCTTTTTATGTCAGCGGACTCCTTATTCTTTATATGTTGTGTCAACACACTATCTTTAGAAACTTTTGAAAGCTTTCATGGCTCCAACAACTTTCTTGTTTTTGAAACTTGATATGGATCCAGAGTTTCCCACTTGTCATGTAATTCTTGTGTTCTAGTTGTATTAGATAACTGACACGGACATGGTCTTCCAAAATTGATGACCGACTCAATTTGAACTGACTATAGCTCACAGTGACGGATCCACATTGGAGGAAGTGGGTTCACGTGACCCCACTTCCTCTAGGGGATCATGAACAGAGAAATATTTGCTTCAGGTTAGGTACTTTGAAAATTTTAAATTTAACACACTATTGCACATACCATTTCATGTACGCATTCAATAAATATTTTGTTTGGATCCTGCCTTAGCCAAAACTTCTCACTGTCAAGTTTCAGTACACCATAATTGGTGGTATCTATCTCAGTTAAATCTCATTTGGTTCTAATATGTACATACAAACATGTTGTAATTTTTTTCTTTACCATGTACAATTTAAGTGAAAGTTCTGGATTTGCCTTTGCAAGCAATGACTGCTAATGATACTGATCAAAGATATAATTGCCTCAGTGATTGTTTGATGACATATATTAAAAAGATTATTTGATAGTGGTACTTTTTCTAGGTATGAGAGCTCATTGAGGATAATTATAATTTTTATTTTATTTATTAATTATGGTGACACCACTTTCTAGAAATCCTAGATCCGCCAGTTACAGTTGAAACTTCCTTCCAAAAATAAATTATCATTGTTTTTGTGTCTCGAGCTACGTTTGGGAACATAGTTTTTTTTGTCATTCTAGGGTTATGCTTTTTATGGTTTAAGCATCTACATTTTGTTTGGTACTTGAATTAAGATACACATAAAAAAGAATGAGCTAACCTAAATTGACAATTCATATTGATGTAAATTTTCTTCAATTTGTATCCTTCTCATCACACTGCTTGCTCTGCTAGTGGTAATGATTAGACAGTGAAGCACTTCCGTTGTGTTAATTTACGATCATGTTTCATGGCTTACCTATGTGTTGTTTTGCATGTTTACTTGTATATTTTCCTTGACTCCTTCTGGATATGACTCGTCTGAATCATATATCTTTTGTTAGATAGATAGAAATAGAGTGCAAATCCAATTAAAAAATATATTAATTACATAACTATCTAATGTGATATCAAAGCCAACTCAATCCATTAACTAAGTTAGAGAACTTCCTGTCGCACTCTTTAAATTGAACTGGCCTTTTGAAGTTACAGAAATGGATTTCGGTTGAATCGATAACACAAGAATCCAAGACCTAAATTTTCGAATCAAATCGCATAAGAACAGTTTAACATCGTTCAAAATTGATCTCTTCTCGCTCTTAATCTCTTTTCGTATTAGATGCCATTTTCATCTCTTTCATTTCATTAATTTTCTATTTGGACAAATTTAGATATTTTGCAAGGCATGTTAAGACCCCTCTGAAACAATCCTTGCATGTCGATGTTTTTTTAAAAACTTAGAAACACTGTCTCAAGAATTTATTATGCACGGGAAGTTTAAAAAGGTTAATGTTTAAAATTGATATGGAATATTCACTTTTCTCTATAAAAGGCAACAATCTTATTAGCAAGGTTTTAAATATCGGATATCGGGAAAATATGGAACGATTGGAATTCATATTGGATTGCGGATACTAGGGAAGTATCGGGGATATGTGTTAAATATCAGAGTGCTATATTAGATGATGTGCACATATAATAAAATATCATAAAATATAATCTAAACATACCTAATAAAATTTAAGCATTCAAAGATATAAATGACATATGTTTAGGATCACTAATCAACTTTTTAATACAAATAAAAGTCCATACCAAATTGCAATATTTAATTGAGGCGATATGCCACTTGATATATTGGAAAATAATGATATGTCACCCAAATTTTCCATAAGTGGTATATTATTTTGCGACAAACCATATAAAAAAATATATTAGCGAACATATTAACGATATATCGGCCATGCCGAGGATATATTGCCTAAAATTGCCAAAAACGGTAAAGAATATATAGACCATATCATTTCGCGGCAAGCCTTGTAACAGGATATATTAGACTAGGTATTGGACCATGTCGGGGATATTTAAAACAGTGCTTATTAATGACATGTTGACGAGGGACAGTGCTATTGTATGGACTTTCAATGGCAGTCCGATAGCAAACAAGAAAGAGAAAAATTAGGACAAGAGGAGTAGAGATAGGTTTTTAAGAATCACTCCTTTAGCATCAGACTAATCACCTTTGCAATTTGTTGTCAAACCTAACTCACCAATTTCACGCCAGGTATTATCTCTCACCTTTAAAAATAGGGTTTCACACAAGAGGCAAAATTGCATCAAACATTCTAAAGAAATTATAATTTTTTCATGAACATCTTCATAATTTTATGGAAAAGAGTTATAAGTCTTGTAGACTTACAGATTAAACATCAAGAAATTAGTTCGTTATAGTAATTCTCGATATGCTAAAAAACTTTCCCAATAATTAGATTCTAACAAGAAAGAACGAATCAAACAAAATTCCTAAGTATAATTTGCCTTTTGTAGATAATGTTATAAGAACCTTTTTATTAAAATTAAAATTCTAATACTAAAAGAAGTGTTGCCATTATTTTTCTCCTTTTGTTTGTGATTTCGAAGAGAAAGTCATCCTACATCACATGTCATATGTAGTTTTATTTAATATAATCTTTTCATTTATTGTTACTAAAACAATATAATGCAAATCGTTTCTCTCTTCAAATAACTGGACACTAATCATCTCTAAATAGATTAGTGATACTTACGGGCAAGATTTTCCTACCTATTTTAGATGTGGGTCCTGAGCTCATATAATCTATGTTAACTGTATCCTTTTGAGAATTAGTTAGTAGACAAAATGGTGAAGAGAATGATGATTACGAACATATAACACAAGGCGTCATGTGAAAAATTGTGAACTGAAGCCTTCATATGCGTCATAGCTAGCTTTGATGCTCGTGGTTTTGTTTTAAGCTTTTGCACTTTTATTTATATCCTGAAATAGTCCATTCTTGGCATATTGGTTTGATGAACTAATTGTTACAGAAGATTGTTAGCTAGCAGGTACGTAGGTGAATTGTCCAAAACTCACAGCTTAAGGTTTAGCATCTAAGTCCAACTATCTTGCAACTAAAAACTACCTCTTGCAGGATTCCACGCTCTTTTTTGTGCAACTATCATGTTCCCATCTCTTGGACAGCCTTTGTGGTGTAGTTCCACTTGTTGCATAAGGAAATTACACAAGACTGCAATAAGTGGACAAGATTTCGTATCATGTGTACATTCTTCTTTCTCTGATATGGTTTTAATTGCCAGTATTTGCATTTTTTTAAGAATGCGTATACTGGCAAAATGCTGTATTTTTGAAATTTAAGTTTGAAAACAGTTATTATTATATTCTCCTTCGCTCATTTGTGAAAGGATTTGTTGCTTGAGAATGATTTGAGCCATTCAGTCAAAAGAAAGGTAGTTTTGCAATAATGTGGTACACACTTCTTGTTTGTAGATTCTCTTGATAAGGCAGCAGACCTTCGCCTGCTGTTGCACTTGGAGGAAAAGGATGTTGTTGATTCCATAACTGCTGTACTGAATGATCTGTACAAGCCTGGAGAATGGATAACCATTGAAAAGCTTCACGCAAAGGTTAGTAAAGATATTTCTATTTCTGATGTTTCTTTTTCTATGCAAAATGTTAAATAAAAAATCTTTAGGAATTGTCTGCTTAATATTGACTACATTTTATCATATTGACCTTGTTCATTCAAGTAGAACACTTAAAGATTGGTATAGGGACAGTATTGACACCTGTTAATACTTTTGGAAACTGGATTGACACTGTTGATATTCAGCTAATGTTGGTTTGTAAATTTTTGGATTTGCATAAAAGTTAGTATTTTAAGAAAAAAATTTAAACTCTTCCACAGTAATCATTAATAAAATCCTATGCTATAAATAACATATTTAACATCAAGCAGTAATATCATGCTGTACCACAAAGCACATGTGACATGAAACAACATAAACATATGAAATTAATAAACAAGAGAAATTAACAAATAACAGGAATTAGAAGTTCTGCCCACTGTTCTTGAAACTAACTGTTGAGTCTTAACATGTCATGATAAAAATGCGACTTAGAAAGACCAAAGTACCCCTCAACCATAAAAAAATGGATTTTTCGCAAAATGAGAGAGAGAGAGAGAGAGAGAGAGAGAGAGAGAGAGAGAGAGAGAGAGAGAGAGAGAAAAACGGCATCATAAATTGGCCGGGCTCTTCTTTTACTGGTGGGGTTCCTTTTTGACTGAAATGGGTTTTTTCACAAAAGGATATTTTGGTCTTTTCACATTTTACAGTAACAACGTTAGCGGGTTTTGTTGAGAAAAGTGTAAAAGTTTGGGGGTTGTGAGACACCCCATAGTTGTAAAGGTTAAGCCGAATTTCAAAGTTGAGAGGGTTATCTACTGCACCTACAAACTTGAGGGTGGTTAAGTTGATTTTTCAAAGTTGATGGGGTCATCTACAATAACCCCAACATTGAGGGGAGTTTATTCGAATTAAAATAGTTGAGGAGGGATTTTTTGAGACATGCCCCATAGTTGAGGAGGGTTTTCTAAGATATACACGGTAAAAAATAGTATAAACTAATCTAAAGACAATACTTTGAAAGCTATTGAGAACTGTTAAGTTAATCAGTATAGCAATTCACAAATCAGATCATGATTAAAGAGAGGCAAATTTAGCAATGCAAAGGATGAATGTTGAACAATCAGTTTGTTACACTGAAAGTAAAGCTTCTTAAATTTCTGAGACTACATTTGGTTTCTCTTTTTAATTCATTTATGGAGGGTTATTAACCCACATACCTTAAATCTTTCTCATTAGCTATTTTATCTTACAATATTTCATCAAAACCTCATCTAAACTTCATCAAAATTTCCAAGATATGTCAAATTTTGCTAATTTCCTTCACTATTTTAAAGTAAATTTCATTTAGTTTTATTTTCAAGTTCTTGGTACTGAAATTCTTATACTCTGATTCAATATTGGTGAAATCGTGGAAGTTGCTGACAATGATTCCTAAAAGAGATGCATAAAACTGATAATAATACTTGAGATTTTCAAAGCTTGGCTGGATGCATGACTCACACATTGTCATGATTATTGTTCGATCTTTTTAACAATGGTTGTATAAGATACCATACTGTGTGCATTGTTCTTGAGTGTTGACATGGAAGGTATGGGCAGTATGAACAACCAGTATTTTTGAATTATATTAATACATTGTAGAACCATCAAAGTCAATTTTATTTCTCATGTCCTTAAAATCTTGCAAGATAATCATATACATCACCCCGTTGCTGTCAGACGAAACTCTGTTACGCTGGTATCAGATCGCTAGTTGCATCATAGCTTTCGCTTTTTAAGTGTAAGGCTATGATATCAAACTTGCTGCATTTTTAGCCATTTCTTGCACATGGACTCAATATTGTCGTGATGACTTTTACATTGTGATGACTTTGTTATCTTTAGGCAATGGCGTCTATATTATATGTGCATAGGTACAACAGGAGAGCCTACTTTTATACTAGACATGTTTAGTGACGTGGTGTTGTCATCACATATCTGGGACAGTTAGTATAAATTAATAAAGCATGTTTTACATGATATATTCACATCTAATAGCTCTTGGCTCAAATGTTTTGGTTTGTGCAAAGACAGCATTGGCCATCCTATGATGTCAGAGTAAGTTAATCATCAATATGTTCACTAAACTTGCAAAAGTTCCCTTTGGAAATTAGTTAGTTTTGATTCTAGACTTCGAAGAATGCAGCCTTCTAAATTACTCAATTTGAGTGTGAATCTAGCCTAAGTGAGACTGTCCCCGCCTCCCATCTCTGTCAGCTACCTGAAAGTATTATAAATCAACTGTTTTCCTAGTTTATTTCAATTCCTTAAAGAAGAGGAACAGGAAAGCATGCAAAGATCAGCTGACAGGAAGCACACGGACTAATCTACCCATTTTCCATATATGTTAGCACTACTAGTCTATAACAAATGCAAGCCTTTTTAAGTATGTCATCACTGAGAATTAGCTTCTATGTCATCACTGAGAATAAGCTTCTCTATAAGCCTATGATTACTATTTTGATTTTCAGCATTCATTAAGGTAATAATTACACCGATGGAATTTCTCTTAGTGTTACAGAATTTATTTTCTTTCCTTTTAGTTGTTTGGGAGAAAAGTTGATCTTTTCCACCAAGTTTCGTTTGATTCTTTTTTCGCAATAAAGATGAAGAAACTCAAGTAAAAGATTGCCCCTAATAACCTGTTAGCTATTATCCATATGAGCAATTTTACCATCCTGCAGTAAAATATAGAGCAACAAGTTTAAAATCCGAAAAATGCTTAGAGGGTCACTCCCCAAAATACACATGACAAACATCAATTGTAGGACTTTCGTTTTGTCCTAGCTAGATCATTTTCTTGAAACTTTTTATGCATCCATCTGTTTTTCCATTGAACTTAGGTCAAGCACTTTAATATTTGTATGTGTTCTTCTGTGCTGATTTTGACTTTAATCTTTTTTTTCCCCCCTTCTCCTTTCCTTTTTTGAGACTTGATACAGCTTGTCGAAAAATATGGGAGTTTGTGGGACCCAAGCAGAGTGAGAAGGTACCTGGTCACCGACCAGTTGCCAGGTGATACTACCGGGAAACCATGGAGTTATCTCTTGGCCTTGCTCAACAAGTACCCTGATAGCTTTGTGATCACTACTAGGTCATCTGACAAGGGGACAATCGAGTTTGTCTCCTCAGTTTCCCTAATCTCCTAAGGTATTTATTACATTTCCATCTTCAAAATAATGTTTTCATAGAAACAAACTTGTTGCAGGTTTGTGAGCTTGTGCTGTCTCTCTATGTATAGTAAACTCGAACCCAACCTGCTGGTGCAAAACTTTTGTTCTGGCTCCTTGTGGGTTTCCTCGGTCTCTCTGTTCTGTACTAGATAATGAAAACTATTAGTTTAATTAACTCGTTCTGCCTGTAAATTATATGTCGAAGGCTAAATGCCACTTCTTTTGTCGCGTTAGTCCAAGAGAACCAGCAAATTTTCAAGAAAGAAATTGCAGCATCTTCAATATGAAGTAGGTAAATGATGATGGCTTGTGTAGCCTGTCTATTACTTCGTTTAACAGGAAAATACGTCGAACTTGCATACTCAGCCAATAAAGCTAGAGGGAAACTCCTACATCAGTCTGGTTCCTTCCATTCTTTTATCTTATCAGAAGAGCTTTTTCCATGGATAATGAGTGAAATGGCCCCATGATTGCTTGTAGGACATTATTACTATAGCTTCACCAATTGCAGTCATTTCTAATTTGCACTTAAAAAAGAATCATAACTTTATTGTAGACAAATCAACGGCTGGGATAAATGTGATGGTATCTCCACTATTTTTATTTATTTATTTATTATTATTATTGTTTTTGTGGTGGAGAAGATCCTAATCTGATATATTGTTAGAATCCGTAATTAATTCATTGACGGCTTCTTCTATCATTTGATAAATACTAAAGTAATTAAAATGCCACCAATAATTAAAATGAAATTCAAAAATTAAAAGAAGAGGTCTTACTTGAATAATTGTTGATTGAATAATTTGGATTGGTAAGCGTTGAACATTAGTGGATTTTTAAAAGTAACTAAAAGAAACTAGCTAGAAGCCAGCTGTTCGAGGAATGATCACCTATTAGATAAATACAAAATAAAAGAGTTTTAAGGAAAAATATACTGATCCCTTGCTTAGTAACTAAAGGTCCTATTTGCCAAAGATTAGCTAACATAACCTGTTTATAGGTCAATTTTTTCTGAGGTGCGTGGTAGGCGTGTGATAGGTTCAATCGCATTTACTCTTGTTTTCTGTGGTGTCATGATCCTACCACTCGCTCGTAGGATGCATTTTACGGCGTACGTGGAAGAAGATTCGAACTCCGACGCCTACGAAAGCCAGTAGAAGGTTGCTGGACGAGCTCGCATGGAATCGTCCTACAAATGCTTACTCGCTTTACAAACAAATGTTTAATATTTTGAGATCGAAGAGGGTACTTCTAGTTTTTACGCAGTCCTAGCTACTAATTTGTCACCTTGCTAGAGATTAATTCTCAGAGGAAATGATCTTGTTACAAGGGGCTCTTCTTGGCTCTTCTTGGTATGAGAGAATGAACGTGAGCACCCCAGAAACCTAACAGCACTCTCCTCGCCCGTTGGGTTAAGGATCCCATTAATCTGAGAGTCTAGAATCCGGATCATTAATCTTGTTCATGCCACTTTCAGCTCAACTATCGGAGAAGAAGCTGATCATAATACTACGGGTTGTAAATCTTTCTTAACAGGCTGAATATTTGGTGCGGCGGGAAAGATTATCTTGTTAGGACACAGTTCATACAATAGCTCTTGTTTGAGTAATAACAAACTCTCATTCGGTACTAATATTTGTTTGAGATAATATAGATTAGTGCAAAAGTTGATTCCAGCCTTCTCGCCATCGATAGTGGACATTCGATGGGAAGAAAGGGCTCATCGATGGTCAATATGCGTCATCGATGGTCTTACGCTAGAGAATTTTATATCAACGATAGGCCTCTCGATCATCGTTGGGGCCTCGATATCATCGATGGTCAAGAGGCACTATCAATGGTAAACACATCAGAATTGTAAATTTTCAGATTTAATCTTAGTTGTTCATTGCTTCATATATCTCCAATCTCTGTCAAGTTTATGATATCTCTTTCCTGATCTATTGTGGAGTTTATATCATTGAGAGAGAGAGAGAGAGAGAGGGAGAGAGAGAGAGAGAGAGAGAGAGAGAGAGAGAAGAGGAGAGTTTTAGGGTTTTAATTTGCAAGAGATTTCATTGAATGATTTGACCACTAGAGCCTTGACAATGTTTTAATTTGTAAGAGATTTCATTGAATGATTTGACCATTAGAGCCTTGACAAACTCATACCCACCGCGCACAACATCTTCAGATCTTTACAGCAAAGAAAGTTGCCCTTGGATTGATTCTTTACACTGTTCTTTATCGAGCTACGCTTATATTCACGGAAGGACAGTTTGTTCAACAAAAGGGCTGTAAGATGTTTCTTGATATTTTGAGCATTAAATGTTATTGTTGGTTTTGCTTTGAACTTATTTTTACAACATGCTCAAGCTGTATTAATTGAGGGTTGGGGCTAGCTAGGGGTAGGTGTTACTCATTATGGAGAGTTAGGTTAGATAACTGGTTTCAGTTAGATTCTAGGGTGTGGTTTTGTAAGCCTACTAAATCATGTTTGTGATCCAGGAAAACTCTTTTATACTTTTAGATTGTTGTCCAACTTCAATTAGGGCAATGTGCCACCACGTAGGGTATTTTTAGTGCATTGTTAGCTATATCGTCCATCGTCATAACTTAGGCTCTGTTTGGCAAAACTAGCTGAAAGCTGCGAGATTATAGCTGAAAACTGTCAAACTAGCTGAAAGCTGTGAAATTGTAGCTGAAAGCTGATACCTGTGTAGCTAGCTGATTGACTAGAGCTGTTTGGCAAAAGAAGCTGTACAACTAACTTAAATTTGTTAAATGATTAAAAAGGACATGCAATATTATTGATATAAAATTAGAATTATCAGGGGCAAAAACGGAAGAAGAAAAATTGGCAGCTCTTTCCCAAAGACAAACGCTACTTGAGGTAGCTTTCCAAAAGCTACTTGCAAAAGACACAATCTCCAAAATAATCTCCTCCTATTTTTTGTCACCAAACAGCTCTACTAGTTTATTGACCAAGTCAATAAGACACAATCTCTTAAATAAGACACAATCTTTTGTTGCCAAACAGTGCCTTATTCACCAAGCGGGTTATCATTAGGAATTTGATCCAAAGTTGATTGACCAACGAGTGTTGGCCAAGAAGATTGATAATTCAATATAGGACACATTCTGCTCAAATACAAAATAATAACATAGATGAAATAACCAATAATAAATTAATTTAACAACTCAGACATATACTTAACGTTAATTTCTAATTTAGTTTAACATCTAGAATTTAATATTAATTGTTTCGGACTTTTTCAACAGTAATATCTTAGATTTAATACGTACGACGTATAAAAAAAATATTTATTCCTCAAATTTAACTTTTTTTAAACAGTAATGTCTTAGATTTAACACGTATGATGTATAACAAATATCTATTCCTCAAAATTAACTTTTTTAAACAGAGATCAAACAACTTTATCACAAATAAAGTGATAACTTATAGGTTTTGGGATTCTTTCTCTGTGTTTTGTGTTGGGAATATTAGCTGTTTAGATAATAATTAACACGAAATTATGTTTTGGACAGACGATTAATATCAGATAAAAGCAGATTAATATTTTATCACAGAAATGAAATTAGTTGTAACGAAAAATAAATAAGGTTAGAAATACGGTCTGATGGTCGAGGCGTGCAAGACACTGTCCCAAGAATCTAATTGCCCCCTCTCGTACAGGGCTACGCGGCAATAGTTCTCGGAGATACAACGACCTTCGGTCAGGTGACTTCATTCTCGTCGGCATGAGCTTCAAGAAGGCTTTGCGAATTCTTCTCGACCTGTTTCTTCACAATGTGTTTAACCCTTGCATATACCGGTCTTTATATAGATTGAGAGTCGTGTCCGTTATCGCACAAATCCCGCTAATCGTTTCGTCATTTAAGTCCATAAATCTGTAATTAATACATTTTAATTACTCGCCCATTTATCCTAGCCGTTACAAAATATTTATCACGTGTTTTAATTATTCCAATTAGAAAAAACAAAATATAGCAGGTTAAGAGCCCCTCAATCCGGAGCTGTATTCGTGTTCGCAGGTCGTGTGCGCCTAATTATTCCAATTAGCAAAAACAAAATATAACAGGTTAAGAGCCCCTCAATCCGGAGCTGTATTCGTGTGATTTAAATAAATTTTTCTGGTATTTAAATATTAAATATTATTTTTCTAAAAGAGTATTTGTATTTTCCCCAGTTTTCTACGATTTAAAAATACGGTATTATAATATTTTAATGGTTTTGCTAATTATAAATTTAGCTGTTCGGTAAAACTTTTTAAATTAATAGTTAATTATTCATTATTGTTATTATTATTGTGACCATAAAATTTTAATATTTACTTGAATAATTTTTCTTGTATATTTTTTTAGAGGGGTATTTTCCATGCGTTTTTCCCCTCACCGGTATATCACTCTGCATCTCTCTCTCTCTCTCTCTCTCTCTCTCTCTCTCTCTCTCTCTCTCTCTCTCTCTCTCTCTCTCTCTCTCTCTCTCTCTCTCTCTCTCTCTCTCTCTCTCTCTCTCTCTCACTTCCCCTAAATCACTCCCTAATTCACTCCCTAAATCCCGCACTCCCATCACCTCGTGCTTCCCCCTGAGATTCCCCTCTCTCCTCTTAATCCTCCTCTCACGTCGCTCTCTCACTCTCTCTCTATCTCTCTCTCTCTCTCTCTCTCTCTGAATTCCGGAATAACGAAGGTGCGGGCTAATCGGGAGCCCCACAATGTTTACAAAGGGAACAATGCCCTTCGTGTCTCATTCATTCTACAAATAATCCAACCATTGGAGCTGATAGAACTCCTTGTCAGCTTTCCAACGCATTTGGAATCACTCAGATCCGAGTTCAGACAAAGAAATTGCAGCGAAAACAGTCAAACGGGCATTGAAAACATCTCAAGGCTGAACTGAGGCACCTACGGTGTCTCGGCAAGACACCCGAAGGGTGTCTCGGCCAAGACGAGACACCCCAAGGGTGTCTCAGCGCAGATTTGACCCCTTTAAGTGGTTTTAACCGCTCCGCAACCCCTCATGCCTATAAATACAAGCCTTAGGCCTCATTTTTTCAGATCTGGAATTCTCGTGCCTCGATGAAGCCCTGCCGGATTGAAGACTTAAAGTGCACAGATTTCAAGAGGGAGGAGGAGAGATCGGATCTAGTTCTTCAACGCAAGAGAGTTCTTCGTCAGATTTACATCACCCGCACCCAATCATTAGTATTATCCCGTTGTGGTAATACTAAGAAGAGCAAATATCTCGCTTTTATCGAGATAGGCACTACAGTTTTCTCGATCCCTTCGCGGATAGACGAAGCTCTGCCTAATTTTTCAGCAATCAGATCTGATCGACGGTGGTCCACGGATAAACCCCGGCACAGGCAAAGACACCAACGCAAGCAGAAGACCGAAGAACGATCTCTGCGTTTGTTTGATAAAGTTGTAAACTTTTTATTTTCATTGTGTAAGGAGATCTTATAAAAAGATCAACTTTTCTTTTATTTTATTCGAGTTTATTGTAACGACTAAAGTTGTAATAGATTCGATAGCAATGAAAACAGCAACTTTCACAGCAAACAAACTGGCGACCACAG